GGGGAAAATCATGACAAATTATTAGAACAGTAAGAAGTTCAGGGCCCATTTTTCTGAGATCATATTAGGCAGTTTATTAGAAATGCATACATAGAAACATTTTCTGATCACAGCCTGATTTGCCCTCCTTATTTAGAGCATGCTATACCTCCCAGCAATTCCCAGCACCCAAAGGGACCCATGCTAATGAGAGGTCCTAACGCCCCTTTATTAGCATCATGGGAAATCTACCTCTCTTGGTTTTCCTCAATCTCTAAGACTCGTTCCTTCCCTTCTCCTTCATATCTTAATGTTAAAGTGCCTCAGGTCTCAGTTCTTGGTCTTTTTCTAGTTATACTCACTCACTTGCTGATTTCACCAAGTTCAACTCTCTTGTGATTTTCATTATCATGTATATGTTGATACCTTCTAAATTTACATCTTCAGTCCAAACTTCTCTCCCAATCTCCAACTGCCTATTCAATACCTCCACTTAGATTTTTGGAGATATCTCGAATTTGGTATGTTGAAAACTGAACCCTGATCTCACTCCCAAAATTGTTCCACTCAACTTTCCCTATTTCAGTTGATAGTAACTCCATCTTTCCAAGCACTAAGCACCTGGAACAGTGCCTGGTACATTGTAGAAACAGAAGGAAAGAATTAGTGAACTGATTTTTAAAAGATAACATCTGTAGAAGTCATTCAGAATGCGGCACATAATAAAAGTAATTAAGAGATATGGCAGGTTGAGTAAGTGTAGCTCAGTCCTACGTGTCATAGGAGTCAAGTAGAAGTGAATAGAGAATGGGGCAGAGGCATCATTCAAAAAGATAATGGTTGAGAATTTTCCAGAAATGTGGATAAACAAAATTTAAAGTTGAAGAAACACGACAGTCGTGAGCCATATAAATAAAAACAAATCCCAGGGGTGCCTGGGTGGCTCATTCGGTTAAGCTTCCAACTCTTGGTTTCAGCTCGGATCATGGTCTTGCAGTTCGTGAGTTCAGGCCCCACATTGGGCTCTGCGCTGGCAGTGCGGAATCTGCTTGGGATTCTCTCTCTCTCCTGTCTCTCTGCCACTCCCCTACTCGTGTGCTCTGTCTGTCTCTCTCTCTGTTTCTCTCTCTCTCTCTGTCTCTCTCAAACATAAATAAATAAACTTTAAAAACTAAAATAAAAACAAGCCCCAAATTAAATATGCAGTGGGGAAAATACAGAGTATAGAATAAAATTAAAATAATAGTAGTGGTAATAGTAATTGCAGCTAACATTTTAATAATATTCACCATTTGCTAGGCACTTTTCTACACACTTTATGTATATTAATTAATCCCACAATAGCCTCTGATGTAGGTATTCTTAGGGTCTGCATATTACACGTGAGGATATTGAAACACCAAGAAGTCTGGTAACTTGCCCAATGTCACACATCTAGTAAGTAGTGGAATAGAATTTCAACTCGAGTGGTTCAGTTTCAGAGTTCCAAATGGGTTAATGCATTTACCACAAAATGAATTTATCAAAAATGCTAGGCAAGTGGCAAGATTTCATTCTTTTTTATGGCTGAGTAGTAATCCATTGTATTTCTATACCACAACTTCTTTATCCATTCATCTCTCTTGCCATTTGCAGCAACATGAATGAATCTAGAACGTATTATACCAAGTGAAACAAGTCAGACAGAGAAAGACAAATGCCATGTGATTTCACTTATATGTGGAGTCTGAGAAAACAAAACAAATGAACAATCCAAAAAACAGATTTATAAATACAGAGAAAAAACTGGTGGTTGCCAGACTAGAGACGGGTGAGGGGATAGGCAAAATAGGTGAATAAGAGGCATAAGCTTCAAGTTATAAAATAGATAAGTCATAAGAATGAAAATTACAACATAGGGAATATAGTTAAGAAAATAATAACTTTGTATAGTGTTAGGAGGTAACTCTACTTAGCAAGGGTTGCACTGCTCAATGTATAGAATTGTGGAATCACTATTCCGAAACTAATACAACATTGTACATCAACTATACTTCAACGAGAGGGAGACAGAGAGAGAGAGAGAGAGAGAGAGAGAGAGAGAGAGAGAGAGACCTAGAGGAGAGAGAAGAAGAAAAGATATGTGAATTTGGAGGCTGAGATTAGAGCTGTACAGTTTCAAGCCAAGGAACACTTGGAGACACCAGAAGCTGGAAGAGGCAGGGAGGAATCTCCCCCAGAAGCTCTGGAAGGAGTATGGCCCTGCCTCTACCTTGATTTTGGATTTCTGGCCCAGTAGAACTGTGAGAGAATAAATTTTTATTGTTTTAAGCCACTAAAAAAATGCTAGACAGAATTTCCTGTTTGAGTCAGGATGCGCTGGGTTATACTGTGATAACATACAAGTAAAAAATCTCAACACAGGTTGAGATTTCTTGCCCGTGGTCATGTCCCTCTGATAGGATGGGACCTAGGTCTGTGTCATCCTCACTCCAGAACCTAGGCTGATAGAGTAGCCACTGTCTAGAACACTGGCGGTTGCCATGCAGAGGGAAAAGGAATGTGGTTACTGCTCCAATTCTTGAAGCTTTCATTCAGAAATTTTCAAATGACACGTATGTATTTCATTGACTGAAGAGCAAATCACATGGCCACACCTAACCCCACACGGGCTGGAAAAGACAGGCTGACATATACCCAAAGGGGAACAACCAGAAATATTTGATGAAAAACCCTAAAGACTTGCATAATCTAGGTGAATATACGGAGAATATTTTAAACGTGGGGAGGAACTTTCTAAGCATTAAAGTTTTGGGAGATTTGAGCACATAAAAATTAAGAACATCTCTGTGTCAGGGGGCGCCTGGGTGGCTCAGTTAGTTAAGCGTCTGACTTTGGCTCAGGTCATGATCTCATGGTTCGTGGGTTCGAGTCCTACATCAGGCTCTGTGCTGACAGCTCAGAGCCTAGATCCTGCTTCCGATCCTGTTTCTCCCTCTCTCTCTGCTCCTCCCCCACTCACACTCTGTCTCTCTCAAAAACAAACAAACAAACAAACAAACAAACAAAAAGAACATGTCTGTGTCAAAATAAATTGTTTGAGCAAAGCCATTTGAAACATGTAATTAGACCAAAGGTCAGAATTGTTAATATACAAGAAATGTAAACAAATCAATAATTTTAAAAACATCTATTTTAAAATGGACTAAGATGATGAGCTGGAAAATAACAAAATAAATGCAAACGGGAAAATGTTCAACCATATTAGTAATTAAAGCAAAATGCTGTTTGTACTTACAAGATGCTGATAACCTGTTTTGATGAGAATAAGAGAAAAAGTACACTGTCTTATTGCTGTATTATTGAAAACAAAAACATGACAAACTCTATCTAGAGGGCAGTTTGACAATGTGTATCAAAAGTTTTAAAATTTTTTTTTTCAACATTTATTTATTTTTGGGACAGAGAGAGACAGAGCATGAACGGGCGAGGGGCAGAGAGAGAGGGAGACACAGAATCGGAAACAGGCTCCAGGCTCTGAGCCATCAGCCCAGAGCCCGACGCGGGGCTCGAACTCACGGACCGCGAGATCGTGACCTGGCTGAAGTCGGACGCTCAACCGACTGCGCCACCCAGGCGCCCCTATTTAAAAGTTTTAGATTTAAAATGCCCATTGCTTTGACCAGACAGCTAGTTCAGTTTTAGGAATTTAAGTAAAGGTGTACATAAATATTTAGCTATAGGGAAGTTTACTTCAGCACTGTTTATAGTCGGGGAAAAGTGGAAGTAATTAAATGTTCAACAGTAAAAGACAGGCTAGGTAAACTATGTTTATTCATATAGTGGCATATTCTGCAACATTAAAAAAATGTGGACTGGGAATATTTATTATAATACTGAGAGAAAATAGATTGTAGAACAGTATGCCTAACTATTGTTTGAAAAATGTATGTATGTATGTATGTATATATGTATAAGAGCAGTCTGAAAGATATACATCAGAATATTAACACTGATGGGCTTATAGGTGTTTTTTTTCTCCTTTTTTGATGATCTGTATTTACAATTTTTACCATAACCGTGTATTGCTTGCGTAGTCTTTTAAAATACAGTAAAAGTCAATCAGTGGCAATGGTTGGTACATTTCGCCATTGGTCCTCACTGATGCTTAATCTCCATATCTATTCTTTTTCTAAAGCTGGGCCCCCTTTTTATGTCCTGGACCCACAGCTTCTCCATTGGCTCCTGCTTCCTAGTCCAACCCTGACCTTGTGCCCCTGTTCTGTTAAATGGGCTTCTACCTTTTCCTGTCATTCTCGATTCTTTTCTCAGTAGCATCTTTTCGATCCCAGGACCCAGATTTCCTGTCACTAATCACCTTAGGATTGACCTCCTGCCCCCAAGTTCCAAGCTGGTCTCAGCAACCCGGTCCCTCCTAAGGACATCGTTGATCCTGACTTTCTGCCCTTCCTATTTTCATCTCCAGGCCGACTTGCCCCACCGCACCTGCTGGTCAGGACAACCAGCTTCTGACCTGTATTAGCTCTTTAGCTCTCTCTCGTTCCGCTGCTGCTGTCCCTTCTAGATACCCACGAGTTGCTTTCCCTGACACACCCACCTGTCTGCTCCTGCATCCCCGCAGAGACTCTAGTTCCAGCTTCCTGCACTTCCCAGGCTGCCCTGTGGGCCACGTAGTTACCTAGGGTCCTCCTATACATTTGTCATCGTGTCAAATGTCTCCCAGCTACTTCTCTTTTCCAGATGGAAAACAGAATAAGAGAATCAACTGGTAGTTAGTAGCTTGTTCAAGATTTACGGGGCTCACAGTGAGAAGTCTTTGGGTGAACTTTGGCCATCGCATTTGGCATCCCCTGTAACACTTAGTGCAGGTGCACCAACAGAGGGCACTCCTCCCATTTCCAGGCACAATACTGAACTGGAAAGATTCTACCTCAGTGCCTCCTAGGAAGGAAATAGCGATGAATTAATTACCTGTTATAAAACAGTGCTTAATTGTTTGTTTCTTCCCCTGTTGTACCTAGGTATTACTTTGTTTCTCCCGGGATACATCTGTGTTGGGTCATTTTGCGTACAACAGCGCTTCACCACCGAAATCATACATCAGAGGTAAAATTTTAGTTACATAAAGGGAGTATTTTTTAAGACTTACAAAATCATAGCAAGACTGTTACATTTTATAGCATATATTAGTGTTGTTAATTTTTTTTTATTGTTAATGAAATTCCTCTCAGATCGTTGTAACCATGCTTTCAACTCCTACTCAAATCACGGGTGAACAACTCAGCACAATCAAAGGCGGGTGGTTCCCAGAAGCAGCACTTAAAGTTACCTCCTTTATCTTTCGTGTTTGCTCGCTCCTCTATTGCTGTTTTTGTCATATCTGTTGACTTTTATTTTCCCCCCTAACTACGAGTTTATCACATGAATTTGCTTCTTCTGCTGCTTTTTTTAACTTCTCTATTCCTTCTCTCAAAATGTTCTACAGCACTTAAAATTTGATGTAATTTATATGCTATTAGCACGCTAATTTCTATTTTAGTGCTTTCTTCCCTTCTTTATCACTAGCTGCCTAGCAGATATTGCTATTTCAATATCCTGCTATTACCTGACAGCTGAACTAATTTCAGCAGGAAGCCTTTCTCAGTTTCTCCTTTTTATTAAGTGGTGAACACCAATCACTGAAAGCTCATAACCCTATTGTGTGTGATCATTCTCTGTTCCCATAAAGAAATAAACTCTTTCTCCCATATCTCCTGAGTCTGACTGCCTGCCTGATTGCTGTAACCCCTGCCCTAGGATGAGCCTATATTGCCTGGCTGGGATCAGGCTCCCCCTCCCCAAACTGGGGGGCTCTCTTAATTCCACTGCTTCTAAACTGAGTTTATAGAAACCTTTGGTCTGCTTGTTTGTTTCTTTAACATCATTTGCTAAAAAGCTGACTGTAGAACTTATTTAATGGGTTCACTTCTAAACTCAGCCAAGATTTTAAGGCCCTCTATCAATTTTGTCTTAACCCAGCTCACTTTGATTCCCTGATTATCCCACGTGACCATATTTATTCTGGCCTATATATATTCCCTACATGTGGAAGGATTCCCATTCCTCCCCCACAAAATCATAGGTCCTTGAGGAACTAGGCTATATCTTACTGTACCAGAAAAACTTATTTTTCCTTCCTGTGTAGGGAAAAATCCAGTTCTTTCCTACTGTGTTTCTCTACCATGTGTACCATTTACTACTCACATAAAACACTCCACTTCCGACACCAAATATATGGGAATTTTCCCTAAAACAAGAAACAAGTCTCCGACACTACCTGGGTATCCTACAATTTAACTCAGTTCTGCACTGTGTACCCAGAGGTAGCCTCAGATCCCACAGACTGAGGGCTCAGTCCCATGAGACTGCCATACCCCTCACACACATACACACACACACACTCTTCTGATGACAGTCAAAACCCCGTTTATCACCTGTGCCTCTGACCAACCAGCTATAGATTAGAGGTTCCAACAACCTGCTTCTTGGGTTCAGTTAATTTGCTATGGCAGCTCACACAACTCAAGGAAACGTACATCTACCAGTTTATGAAAGGATGTGATAAAGGATACAGATGAACAGCCAGATGAAGACATACATACGGCGAGGTCTAGGAGGGTCCTGAGCATAGGAGCTTCTGTCCCCATGGAGTTGGGGTGTGTCAGCCTCCCAATATTGATATGTTCACCCACCTGCAAGCTCTCTGAACACCTGACTACTTGGGATTTTATGGAAGGTTTCTCACATAGGTACGATCAATTACTAACTCCATTTCCAGCTCCTGTCCCCTCTCTGGAAAATGGGAGATGGGGCTGAAAATTCCAGGGTTCTAATCATGACTTGGTCTTTCTGGTGACCAGTCCCCATCCAGGAGTCCACCAGAGTCATCCCAATAGAACAAAAGATTCTCCTAGTCTCTTATCACTTAGGAATTTACAAGGGTTTGCACCTAGCCCCATATTTAGTACCCAGCTAGTACTCTCTATCATCTCCCTCTCTCTGTCTCTCTGTCTCTCTTTCTCGCACTTTCTCTCTCTCTCTCTCTTCTACCTTTCATTATTCCATTCTCCTTACTCACAAGCTCAGTGCTTGTTGTCTCCACCCTAACCTAAACTGCTCATTCTTCTTATTTGTCCCCTCTCTGCCACCACCCCCAACAAGAAGAGCAAAAAAATTTTTTAACTAAAAACCTTACCTTAAAGCCAAGTGCAAGAATGCATGAGGCTTTTCAATAGAAAAGTCAACGAAAGGCATTAGAAAAACTGTCAAGATAAAGGCTATCTAAAGATATTCAATGGAAGGTGGGGGGGGGGGAACCTCAGAACCTTAAAAGTTAAGGGAAAGCTATATTTTTTTAAAGCTACTTTAAACATTTGATTATAGCGAATATACTTTCATTTTCTGAAACAATTCTGCTTTCCAATATTTAGCCTCATTCTTGGACCACCTGAACTGTTTTAGGATTCAGAAAATATTACCACTATATGGTTTAAGACATTTACTTTTTAACTTTTCAGCGCATTCCATAAGAATGTAAAACCAATGAGGCGCTGCAAAGCTTAGGACTTACTTTAATGAACAGATTAGAATTATTCATAGTTAGCAAAACAATTCTATGCTCCTAAATAGATGCTTCTCTTCTTAAACGCTTAAGGCACTTGAAAGCATTTGTTCTTTTAATTATTTTGTATCAATTGCCTCACACTTAAATTTGTATTATTGACTTTAATTGATGAAAGGATTTGCTAATATCAAAAGATTAGCTGGTATATTTTCAAATTAATTCCATTTCCTAAAATGAAGTTAAAGGAGATCGTACTGTGCCTTTTAAAATTGCATTATTAGTACATCCACAAAATAAGTTAATTTTTAAAGATTTATTTTATTTAATCATATTGAAACCTTTTATGGTTTGTTTGTTTTTTTCTTACAGGAAAACTAGGACTAGAAGAATATGCAGTATTTTATCCACCAAATGGTAAGAGTAATGCTATTGCTTCCTCTAGTGGGAAATAGGGAAATTACAGCTTTTATAACAAAATGTGACACTATCTTTAGATGGATACTTATTCATTATCTAAAATAAACCTTGTATGGAATAGCTCTTTTAATTAACTTTTCTATGTTTGTGGTAGGTTTGTGTTAAATTCTGTACATCCTCCCTGGTTTTCCTTCAGACCGGTAGTAGTGTCTGCGAGGAAACTAAGTGGACTCAGGTCCAGGGTGTTTCATTTTCCTCTGGGGGACACTGACTGGGTCCATCCAGGACCTTCCTTCTGACTTCCTGCAGCAGAGCTCAAATAGGTTGAGTGTATTGCCTTGTGTTACACTTTATTGTTCTTCTAATTTGACAAGGGTGGTATTTATGAAGTAAAAAGATCTTGAAGAAATACATCAGCCAAATCTATTTTAACTGTGTAAAGTGATCAAATGTATAATGATCTCATCAGATATTAAATATCCCTCTGAGATTATGGGATAGTTTTTAAGATCTGCTTTTTGGAAAAGCAATCTAGAGCATTCCTTATTACAATAATATTGGGTTGCATCCTGAAGAAGTTCTGTTACCCCAGCAGAATTAAGAACATGGGCTTTGTAACCCAGCCGACCTGGGTTCAGATCCCAGTCCCGCCAGCTCGCCCTATGACCTTGGTAAGTTCCATGGCTTCGCTGAACTTCAGACGCATCCTCTAGGGCCCATGGATCAACTGAGACACAATGTCTAAAACGTCACAGTGACTGATATGCAGTGAGTGCTCAAAAAATGCAGCTGTTACCGGCGTGTTGAGCTTTTTTGTTGATCTCTCCATGTGAAAGCCGTGCTTGGCTTTCATGGCACTGTTCTCTCCACGCACCTGTCAGAGTGATCTCGCGGGTTCTTTCACGGGCCATCCTCCCCTGCCCCTCTGTAAGCACCAGTGTTCTCCAGTGTCCCACCCCACCCTTGTTCGGCTGCCCTTCTTTTCATACATGTTCCCATGTACCTGCTTTGTCAGCTCTATTTGTTCATTACTCTAAAATTTTTATCTACAGTTCTGACCTCTATAGTAATTAACTCAGGCTTAACATATCTCAACTTAAATGCATTCATTTCTGTTCCAATACCCACTATTCAAAAAAGAATAAAATAAAATACAAAAATAAAAAAAAACAAATAAAGACCAACAAAATAAAGACCAACAACAAAAAAGCTGTGCTACTTCTCTCACAACTCACTGTGCTCTCATCTAACCAGTAATTCAAGGCCTAAACCCTGACTCCTCTCAGCCTCGCATCCCTCTCCTGTGGTAAGTCACCAGGGCCAGCCGGTTTTATCTTCAATATGCATCTGGGACCTCGCTCTCCCTCTCTTCCTCGCCATAACTGCCGCCTTGCCCTTATCCAGGCTTTTCCATCTCTGGCTTATTAATTGCAACAGATACCTAACCGGTCTCTCTTCTTCCAGTGTTTTCTAGCTTTGCCTTGTCTTTCACAGTGCTGCCTGAGTTACACATCGAAAAGGAAAATCTAAAAATTGCTTTTTTTCCTTCAAGTTGTCTTTTCTGAGAAACGGAGAGGGGGGAAGGGGCAAAGGGAGAGCGAGAATCTTAAGCAGGCTCCACACCCAGCTCAGAGCCCAAGCTCACAACCATGAGATCTTTACTGAAATGAAATCAAGAGTCGGACGCTCGATTGCCTGAGCCACCGAGACACCTCTCCCCTGAAAGTTTTCTTAATGGCTTCCCATCTCTTCCCAAGTGATGTCCAAGCCTCTTAGCCTGGTGTACGAGGACCTCTTTTGACCCGGGCCTGTATTCAGTCTGACTCCTTGCTTTGTATTTCACCTTTTCCTATCTCACTGTCTTTTATCATAGCAATACCAAACGATTACCTCACACGTGCACATGCACCCCTGCCAACTCTCTCAAAGCAACGTGCAGGGCTCAGCTCAGGCATGATCCTTTTCAGGAAGCTTTCCCTGAGTCCTCGGGTTTGGTTATGGTCCCTTTTTTTTTTTTTTTTTAGCTCCCATAGTATCCAGTGTGAAAGCCTTTGGTATCTATTTTATTGTCACGACATTATTTGTTTATGCTTTATCTTCCCCTCTAGATTGCAGACTTCTTAAGGCGGAAGGCCATGTATCTTTATTCCCTCAGTACCTAGCTGTAGTAGGAGGTTAGTGAGTCTTTATTTGAACTAAATTAGAGAGGATTTTTAATTTGAGCATTTACTTATGTTTATTACCTCTGCCTCTTCAGAAACTTAAATTTCAGATAACTTTTTATGTTTATCCAAGAATCAGGAAACCAGGGGAAAAATACCTCTGAAGAGCCAAAAGAGGTGTCCACGGAGTCAAATTCCTGCTCTCTCCATGCCTAGGAGAGCTTTTACTTAACACACATGCCTAACAAGCTTGGTTTACTGGTGTTTATGCCCCCCTACAAAAGCGGAAGCATAGAAAGAGGCTGACACAGATGGGAAAAATGACTAACAACAGCAGAACGGCAATCAGAGGCTTCACAAAGGAAAATAGAAGAACTATAATAACCAGCACATAAGAGCGCTCCAGAAAATCTGCCGGGGACCATTTTATGTAAAAGCCAGTAACCTTGTGACTTTTTAAAGAGTTATGGTGCACGTGTATGTACGTAGTTATAGTATGTACTATAATAATTTAAGACTTTTATTAGGCACTTGAGACACCAAAAAACAAATGGCCGTAATAATAGCCATGACGGCAGTCAGGGCGGCGGCACCTAACGTTTTGCAGGCAGGACTCTGTACCAGGCAGTGTGCTAAACGCATTACGTGCGGCAATCCGCTTGGTCCTTACAAGGCGTAACCTGCCGAGGCAGGGACTAGTGTTATCCCTATTTCTAGATGAAGAAGCTGAGGCACAGAGTGTCCATTTGCTCCGCCGGTGAGGGGCAAAGCCAGGCTTTCAATCCGAAGCACTTTGACTTCAGTCTTCTTCATCACCATGCCCTATTGCCTCAGAAAATGTTACCGTGTACATTAGAGTGGCTTTTGGTAGAAAAGAAAGGGGCTGATATGTTGAAAAAGTGGATGTGTAGAATAGGTTCTAGAAAGATTTTCATTCAGAATGAAAATAGTTTAATACTAAATGGGGTGACCCCTATAGCTGCTCATAAACGTCATTCTTCAGAATAATTTTTTCTTTCAGGTAATTTTAAAACCTTGCCAGAATCAGAGAGAGCTCTCTTCTCTGGGCATTGAGTCCAAAGTTGCAGAACAAGAGGAGACAAAGACTAGTCAGTCTGTTTTCCCTTTATTCTTTCCTCAAGGCAATACTAAGCAGCACTTGTATGTTATCCATTCCACTGCTGCCCCAAATAGGATTACTTTAAAATCTTAAGGACACCTCCGCCACTGACCTCATTTGAGGCCTTGTCGGTGGACAGACTTTCTGTAGCAGATTCACTAAACAACTGGTAGGCAAAATTTCTGAGCTGAAGAGAGTTTTCGTAGGAATTATATAAGCTTCTCTTGTTTTTACTTTTCGTTCAACTTATATAACTTGTTTTCATTTATTCATTTAATACTTACATAGTCCTGCTCTGGCTCCCTCTTCTAGGGTGGGTGATCTGCAGTAAAAAGTACCTACTGTCAAGAAGCTTACATTCTAGTGAGGGAGACAACAAGCAAGTAAATAAATAACCAATGAAAATAATTTCAGAGAATGTGATGTGAACCATGAAGGGGAACAGAAATTGATAGGGAGGGTATGGCTTTAGGTAAAGGGCTTTGCCTTTAAGTAAACGTAAGGCTTTAGGTAAGGTCACCTTTAGGTAAGGTGATCAGGAAAAGTACTTCTGAGGAGGTAGAATATGAACAGAGACCAGAATATGCAGAGTGAGCTGTGCAATGAAGTAGGAGAAGAACATTCCAGAGGGAATACATAGCATGTTTAAAGGCCTAAGACGGGAACCTGCTTGATGGTTTGAAAGAACAAGATGGCCGGTGTGACTGGTGACAGTGAGCAAAACATAACCTGGTACTAGGTGAGACAGGAGACTTAGGGACCAGGTCAGATAGGGAGACAGTTGATCTAAAGTTTTGTCTAGTAAGTCTAGTGTCTGGGCTTCCTCAGGAATAGTTTCTGTTAATCTCTTGTTTTCATGTGAATGGGCTATACTTACCTTTTTTTTTTTTTTTCCCTAATTTTAATTCCAGCATAGTTAGCATACAGTGTCATGTTAGTTTCAGGGGCACAATAGTGATTCAACTTTCCATATATTACTCAGTGCTTGTCATGGTAAGTGTACTCTTAGTCCCCTTGAGCTATACTTTCTTATTTCTTTGCATGCCTAGTAAATTTTTTGTTCATAACTAGATATCTTGAATATTATAGTGTGGTAACTCTAGAAATCAAATTGTCTCCCCTCCCCAGAATTTGTTGTTGTTGCTTGTTTAGTGACTTTTCTAAACTACTTTGTCAATATTGTGTTGTTTTTTTGTATGGAGTGCCCACTGAGGTCTCTGTTCCATTAGCCTAGTGGCCAACTGGTAATTTGACAGAGGTTTCCTTAAACATCAGAAACCAAAAGAAAAAAAAAATCTATCCCAGTCTTTGCAGGTTGGCTGTATGTTGAGGTACTCCGTGGAGGCTTAGCCAGGCCATTTAATTTTTTTTTTTTAATTTATTTATTTGGAGAGAGAGAGACTCTAGAGAGCGCAGGGGGAGGGGCAGAGACAGAGGGAGAAAGAGAGAGAATCCCAAGCAGACTCCGCTCTGTCAGCACAGAGCTCAATGTAGGGCTTGAACTCATGAACCATGAGATCATGATCTGAACCAAAACCAAGAATCAGACGCTTCACCGACTGAGGCACCCAGCCGGCCCTCGCCAGGCCATTTAGAGTTCTACCCTAGCCTTCACTTCCTGCTTGCCCAGAGCCCAGAAGTGAGGCAGAGGTGAAAGCTGAAGTACTTCTCTGATCTTTTCTAGATTCCCCTGAATACAGAGGAGTTTTTCAAAG